TTTTTTTTTTTTTTTTAATTCCTCTGAGACAGTGTCTTGCTGTATAATCCAGGCTGGCCTCAAACTCACTGTGTAGCACAGGCTGGCCTAGAAATCATAGAGATCCTCCTGCCTCAGCCTCCTGAATACTGGGATTAAAGCCATGTGCTGTCATACTCAACTGTGATATGATTTCTAAATAATTCCCCACTTCCAAAGAAAGAACTCTTCTATACTGTTGGTGGGAACGTATACTGGTACAACCACTATGAAAATCAGTATGAAGATTCTTTGAAAAAGTAAAATTAGAAATTACTCCCTTTCTAGATATCTTTCCCAAAGAGTTAAGGGCATCATATTACATATTACATGTATACTCATGTTTATAGCTGCACAACTCTTAATACAGTAGTTAAGTCTTGAAAGTCTATATGTTCATCAACAGATGAATGGATAAAGAAAATGTGTTTATGCACAGTGGAGTACTGCTCTGCCATAAAGGATAGACCTGAGTCATTTATAGGAATGGCACACCTTGAGACCATAATGTTAAATGAATTAAATCAGACACACAAGCTTCAATATTGCATGGTTTCTCTTGTGTAAGAAATCCAAGATATAAAGAGCAAAATATAAGATAGATAATAGGAAACAGAGACAGGGCTTTTCTAAAAGAGAAGGGGAGAAGAGAGGGTAAGAGCTGGAGAGAGGAGAAGAGAGGGTAAGGTAGGAGAAGGAGATGAAAAACAGAAAGATGTGTTCATCTTGAGGTCACCACAGTGACTGTAATGATGTACTGCAAGCATGCACCAATAAAAAGAAGGAAAGCAGATCCCCCTACCTCCCATTCATTTCCTTTGAGTCCTGTGACTACTCTTTTGTCTTGCTATCACCTCCGTCACCTTCCCTAATCCTCCATTGTCCAAGGGCCTTCAACTTCAACTTAACTGCTTGTTCCCCTGTGCATATATAATATTTAGGCCCATCTGAATATTTTTAATGTTGCATATCTGTAAACTTGCTGAATGTATTTCTTCCTGTTATATTTTTCAGTCTCTGAATGACAGCCCATATTTTACAATGGACCAGTTTTGAAATCATTTTAATTTCTTTAAAAATAATTTAAGCATGTTTACCTCCATTCTTACTCCTGCTAATAAATTTGTGACTTTTGATGCTGTACACTTGGCTTTCACTTAGCAATTTCTATATAGGAGTTTTTAATATTAGGAATACTAATTTTTAAAATTGTAAAATTTGTAAATGGCATTGAAAACAATATTTTAATTTATACAGGATTTAAGAAAAATTAAGATTAATTGTGAACACTTAGGAAATAATTGTAGTGATTTGTGGAAACTAATAGAATATTTTTAATGCTTTTAATTATTCCTGATAATGTTAGGGTGTGGTTCAATTAAAGAGTCAAATTAAGCTGAAGGTATTTTATGTTAAGTTTATGTTATAAAAATTTGACCTTACTATCCTATCGTCTGTTAAGTAGATGTATTGGTAAAAGCTAAAGGCCCAAAATTGGTTTATTTTCACAAACTAATTTATCAGATTTAACTTTTTATATGTATAAGTAATTAAAAGAAATGTGTATGTTTGCTAGTTTTGTTCAATGATTAATATTTTTTTCAGGAATATTGTACCTTTAAGAAAAGCATATTTTATGGGTAGATTCCCAATATTTTAACAAACACATACATCCTGGAAAATGAACACGAATCCTAACAGTTCTGATATAATAGAATGTCTTTATTGTAAGGAGTGTTATATACTAATGGTTTTCTTCAAATTCTCTTTTCCCCACCACCAGCCAGGCCCACAACTCCTCTTTCTGTAGGTACCATTGTCCCACCTCCCAGGCCTGCTTCCAGACCAAAGCTTACTTCAGGCAAACTCAGTGGGATTAATGAAATAGTATGTACTCAGTTGTTTTTTTAAAATTACATAACTGTTTTAAGATATATTTTTCTGTATGCCCCTGTACAGTTAAATGCTTTGTTTTCTACTTGAGTCCTCAAAATACAGAAAAATTTTCCCTAATGAATGAATCCTTCACTCTCCCTTATAACCTCAACTGTCATACCTGTAAACCCACACATTGTCCAGGAGGAAAGAGATTTCTGAGAGTTGGCACTAACAAAAACACCATTCAGTATCTGTTGTCTCACAACAAAGTACTTTCATTCAATTCTGATTAAAGTCAAATAGTAAGGAAGAAATTGTTGTTATGCCTTAGAAATATACTGCCAAGAGGGTCCTGGTGTGTATCTCATTCGGCTTTCTGTATTTTAACCTAGGAAACGAATCCACATCATTTAATTGATATAAAAAATGACGTCTGTTGTTGGGGAATGGGGATCACTAGTCATCACAGTGAGATCAATGGGCTCTATTCAGAGTGAGACCCTCCCATACTCAGCCTTTTTGCTTCTGATGTGTTCTATTTTGCTTTATCTTCTACACTAATTGCTAGTTTAATTGCCAGAATTAAATTTCTAAAGGTCAAACATTATCTTATTTTTCCTTGATAAGTATTTCCATTGGTACTATAATCCAAATGAGTGAATATTTAAGCTGAATGTATGAGGCTATAAAGTTGCCTCAGCAACCTGCATCACTAGAACAAACTGCCCAACTTTCTGTTTCCAGCCTAGGTTCAGGCCAGTATTTCCCAAATACACTATGCTTTCTTTTTGGAGGGAAGCGGGGTGCTGGGGATCGAACTTAGGCCTGTGACATTGACCTACATTGTGTTCTTTTACACATACATTTTTTAAATGCTCCTTCTGTCTGAAGTACATCTCAGTTTTCTTTGTAACAAACTTGCCTACTTAAGATCTAGCTAAGTATTGCCACATACATAAAACTTTCTTGGATCATTCCACCACTTCTCCAGCAGATTTATTCTCTTATTCTCATATACTTATTTATATTTGTGCTAGTACAATAGCACATTATGTTGACTTTATGGTCCCCTTATTGATCTGCTGTAGCCAATTTCATATCCTTAGTATTTTAAATAATGCCTGTCACATGTACATAATTAGGAAAATGTTCAGTGAATAAATGAAAAGGCTTGAGCACCATTTGTTAAAATGGTGTCATCTTTACTTCCTGAGTGAAATGAGTTACTGAAAGCGAAATGAAAAACAAGGTACAGGCTGCGAAGATGGTCAGGATTTAAGTAACATAAGAATTACTATATCTTAGGTACAAAATTAATACAAAATTATGCTGATTACAAAAGAACAATGTTCGATCATGTTGTAAACTTTGGAAAATGTAGAAAACATAGAATATTTAAAGTATTCTCTGTCTTACCACGCAAGGATAACCACTGTTAAGATGCTTATGTATGTATTTCTTTTCATTATATTCTTAGTGCATAAGTATTTGTCCAGATGTAGAAAATAAAATTGGTAAAAATACAGACTTATTAATCACATATTAGCCAAACAACATTAGGCACATTATTTACTGAGTACCCGTTTTGCCATGGGTAAAATGCATATAATAATACTAAATTGTTGTGAAACTTAAATGACTTAATATGTGTCAAACAGGACATTGTCAAGTGCAAGTATGCTCAAAAAAGTGCATATTTTAAAATAAAAAGTTACTGTTCATACTTTCAGATAATTTTTCACTAGAAAATATTTGGGGAATGGCTTTCTAAATCATGAATTATTCATGATTTTCAAGAGACTCGTTTGTCGAATAATGACACACTTAAACATATTAAAATAAATCAAGTTAAGCTGGATGTTGGAGGATGAACCTATAATCCCAGGTGGCTGAGACGGGAGGATCCTTGGGAGATTGAGGCAAGCCTATAATACAAAGCAAGTCCCCATCTCACCTGTCCAAAATAAAGTCAGACTTACATAGTTGATTCATTCACATTAGTCTCCTTTCCTAGCAGCCCTCTTCCCTGAGATCTTTCTAGAAACTACCTTGAGGGCTTGGGGGAGAACCATTTGAAGTGTATTATTTCAGTATATAAATCTGTCTTCTAGACTGTTATCAGAATTAAATTTCTAAGTTTTTATTGCTGTAATGTTTTAATGAATATTCTTATGCTTCCTTCTTTGAAGACACTATTTCTCTAGTAAAAGATTTTAAAAATGAAATTCATGAACTAAATGATAAGTGCATTTTAAAGGTTCTTGATAATTATTGCTGTATTGTCTACTAGTGAGCCACATCCTCCTTACCAACTAATCTTTGTTCTAGAGCAAATGCGCTTAGAGGGGGTCCCAGACCAGTAGAATTATCAGCACCTGAGAACTTGGTAGAAATAATCTCTCTGGCTCCATTCCAGACAAATTAGAAATTCAGGGAAGGGACCCACAATTGTGTATTAAAAAGCCCTCTAAGTGACTGGAATGCATACTGATCTTTGAGAACCACTGTTTCAAAGCAACACTACCCGATAGAAATATAATGTAAGCAATATATATGATTTTAAGTTTTTTAGTAGCCACATTTAAAAACAGTGAAATTCAGTCTAATACATCTTATTTTGCCCCGTATAACAGAAACATTATATTTAGAATAATGAATGAGATTTTACATTCTTTTTATGTATATGCTAAGTCTTCTGAGTCCACTCTGTATTTTATAGCCTTGTAAACACATCTTAATTTGGATTAGCTACATTTCAAGTTCTGTTCACAGTTGTACTGGACAGCACAACTCTAAAAATAGGATAAAACTTAGGAAAATAGCTATTTCTGCCTTTTCCTTAAGAATTGTAAAATACATTATAAAAATGTGTCCACATCATATTGGCCACAAGGCCATGTTGCAGAAAGAGAAAATCCCCCACAGTAGTTCATCTCAAGATCTTTTCCTAAGCTTGTTAAGTTTCAGATCATTGAATTCTATTATCTGTTCAGCCCTTTACCATTTATGTCTGTATAAATATATAGCTGCATTTTTAGCACCTGGCTATATTTTTTAAAATATGTTGTCTATAATGGTGTCCTTAAAAAGCTGTACTCTAGAAAAAAAATTGTTTAAAAATAGTTATTGAGTTCGATCCCCAGTACCAAAAGAAAAATTCAAATAAAATAAAAATAGTTATACAGGTGGGTGGGGGTAAAATAATTTGTAAATATCTGGTAAATATTTTTATTGACAAATGGTAAAATAATTTGTGTAACATGTGATTTTTATGAAAGTATCTGTCAGTTGTTATTAAGGTAATGAAGAATTGAGTGTAGGATTACTTACAGGTTTTTGTGTGTTTTCCATGCCTCTCACATAAAAAAGGATAGTGTCTTTTCTGTTCACTTCTTTGTATCTAGTACCTGATCCAGGGTTGCCATAGACACTAAATAACTATTTGTTTCTTTTATAAGCAGGAAAAAATTATTTTTAATTAAGGTAAATATGCCTTTAAAAAATGAAACACCTTAGCAAATGTTGCTAATGTGTTATTGGAACAACTAAGAATTTGGAAATAAAAGGTCTGTCCACACTGGTAAAAGATAAATGAATTTGAGATAGTTTTGCTGTTTGTTTTTGTATTTAACTAGAAAAGTGAAAAAAATCAATAGAATTATTATTTTCTTAAACTTCTCTATGGGGAGAGCTTTATTAATGAGGATGTCTTACAAGGAGTTACAGAGGAAAATGTGAACAGATTTGTAAACATCAGAAGTAACAGGCAAGCAATATTTAGAAAAGAAAATATTTGTGACAAATATGGCAAAATGTTAGAAAAGGTTCACATCAGACCATTCATAAAAGTGAAAATATCTATCAAATTAACTAGAAATTTTAAAATTTTTTATATTTTCTTCTGTGACTCGTACATTGCTAACAAAGTGCAGAGAAATAATTTTATGTAACAGTAATGTAAAGTGAATAACCATTTTGGGAAGTCATTTGGTAGTATATGTGAAGAGCCTTCATATTGTTTAAACTAGTATTTTAGCTTCTGTGAATCTATAGTAAGTATACTTTTTGAAACACAAAAAGTATTTTATGCACAAAGACCCTCTTGACATTATTTTAATATATCCTTTCATCTTTCAGTGTATTTTTGAAAATGATTTGACACATGGCATATCTTGAGTTTAAATTAAAAGAAATGGTAAATTTGGTTTAGCATATTAAAGTTAAATTTGCCTGATACAGAAATCTCTGACAAGTAATTGTTGTAGCTTTTTGATAGATAAATTTGCTTTTAAGCCCAGGCCATTCAGCCCACCTGTAACTTCCAACACCAGCCCACCTCCAGTCGCTCCTTTAGCCCGGGCAGAAAGTTCTTCCTCCATCTCATCTGCTTCATTGAGTGCTGCCAATACTCCAACAGTAGGTAAGTGCTTATCATTGATTATGAAATTTAGCAAAGTATGATGAGACATATGTGTGTGTGTGTGTGTGTGTGTGTGTGTGTGTGTGTGTGTGTCTGACCTAGTGAAGAATTTAAGTTAGAAATTTTGTTTTTCTAGCAATACACCTGATTTCATATTAGCCCCATGTCCTTTTCTGTTTCAGTCTTTATTATCTGGATAGGACAGTTCTGTCTCTAGCAGTAATAAGAATGAATGAAATTTACAACTATTGTCAATATAAACAGTTGAAAGAAATATATAATGCAGTTCTTTGTGCTGTGAACTGGTAGCAAGCTGCATTCTTAAGAGTTTCTGCTAAAAACAATTATGTTTGGAAAGGAATTGATTTAATGAAAGGAAAGGATGTTATACTTCAGTGAGTTATATTTTTCCATCAGAATTTAAATCAAAATTAATATTTTTTAAAAGCTATTAACATATAATTGTATAAACTTAATAAGCCTCATCAAATAAATCAAATATTTTATACATCTGGATTTTGTTGCCTTTGCTCATTTTTTCTGAAGATCTTTTCTCACTCCTCCTTAGTGTAATAAACAAAAGCACAAAGCCACTTACAGCAATTATGTTTCATAAACAACAACCTCTCATCAAACAACTTCTCAGTAAAGCCATCTTATTGCTGACTTTAGGAAGAGATGACTTTAGCCGTGATAGTGCCAGTTTCTGATTTTCACTAGCAGCACTACTTCAGGAGTGCCCAAAGTGTGCCTTGGACCTGCAGCATATGTATCACTTCATTCTTACTAGAAATAAAGGCTTTTAAGTCAAATATTCTAGGAGGAGGTTACCAAGCTGGGGCCAACAGGGGATTCTGATGAATGCCAATTTGAGAGTGACAGCCCTAAAGCTGATTTAATTAGTTTAATTTGGCAGGAGATAAGCATCTTGTCTGTGCGGCCATTGTAAAAATAGCATGTAAGTAGCATAGGCTAAAACATATGTGTTACTTTCCACACCTTCATATATAACAGTTTCCCATCTTTTAACTTCATGTAAACTGAATGTATATAAATAAATTTGTTCTTTAATTTGGTAGAATGCGATTTTTATATATATAGTATTGTTAATTTTTATTCTCATGGTTTGTATATTTTGGTCATAAACATGTAAGATGAGCCCTTTTAGAAATCAAGCACATAGTCTGGGTAACCAGAATGAGCTTTAGTTCTTTTTCATTATCTAGATTATTCAGAAGACTTTCTATATGTAATAGGAGCTTTTAAGTGCATTTTGATTGACTTGGTACATACTTATAGTTTCAGCCACGATGGCAGTAGGTGATGGGGGGTGGGGAGAAGCAGGCAAGGGAGGTAGATATGAATTTTATACAACAGAGGTTCTTCAACTCTACCTAGAAAGTTCTCCTTTTTCGTCATGATGCTAGAGTTGGGGATGGAGCTCAGAGCTGTGGGTGCTTGTCTAGCATGCCCATGTCCCTGGGTTCAATCCGTAGAACTGTCAGATTTTTTTCTCTTTTTGTCACAATCTTTGTTTAGCTCTTTGTTTAAAGTTTTGATTATTCTAGTTTCTTGAAAATGTTTTATTTTCCTGCAATATTCTGTTTTATTTAAATATGATAGAAGATGATAATTTGATTGGGACACTCTCTGAAATTGAAAAGCACTGTGAGACATCATCAGGTATTGTATAAGACACAAACATATGTGTTGACTAATGATCCTAAAGTGTATCTAAAATGCTCTGTTACCTATTTTTTCTTTTTCCAGTAATGTATAGTGTCTCAGAAATAAAGTATAATGCTAAGATTAACTGTCTCAATTTTGTGCTAATTATGTTGGGTTGATGGGTAAGAGCTACTGACACCAAATTCCTAGTTATAAAAACAACAGTTTTGCATTTTATTCTGTTTGCCTTATCTCTTTTTGCTTCAACATTAAGTTTCAATATATCTAAACTCTGTAAAGCTGTCAGAATCAGAGAAGAACGTGATTAATAAAGAAGCAGACTATATTAGCTTTAAAAAAGTTGTAATATCTGTACTGCTGGAAGAAAAGCTGTCATAGAAAAATCATATGGATAATGAACTGAAGTTAGAAAGCACAGAAGTAAGAAATGACTGGTACTCTTGAGCTAAAAGGAATTCCACATAAATACCACTGGAAGACACCTTGTATTCTTTTTTTATCTCACATTATATAAGCTGTCTGCATTTTAAAAATATATAATAATCTGAATATGCAGCAGTTAAACAATTGGAGCCAAATGTTTTCATTGAGTACAAAGTATTTTCATTTAAAAATTATTTATTTAGAATTATAAATTTAGTTTTTAGATACTTGAGTAAATATTTTCTATTTGAATTAAGTTTTGCAAGAATACATATGAAACATGATCTCAAAAGGAAAACAAAACTAAAAAATACAGAAGTGGATATGTCAAGTTTAAGCTGGCTTTGAGTTTCTCCCCTATATTTCAACACTTTATTTGCCAATATGTTGTGTGATAATTTATAGAATTCAGGCATCCTCGTTGTATAATTATATAATTGGAGAGTTGGAAGAATAACTACTGGTTTCTTATTAATTTTCTGTTAACAGTACTGGGAATCAAACCCTGGGCTTCATGCATGCCAGACAACTGCTCTACAACTGTGCTTTATCCCACCCTGACAGGTTTCTTTTCGTTCTACAATCAAAGCAGACATTAATGTTAGCCTTTGACTATGTGTAAATATTCATATGTGTTACTCAAGGGACAATATGAATTTTATATTTAAGAAAATACAGGTTGCCTTTGATATCTACAGCAGATTGATTTTTAGGATCTCCTCAGCAATACCAAAATCCATAGATGCTCAAGTACCTTATATAAAATGATATAATATTCAGATATAGCCTGTACACATTGTCCTGTACTTTAAATCACTTAAGATCACTTATAACACATAACATAGTGTAAATTCTGTGTAATACTTGTTGCATTGTTTAGGGAATAATGACAAGGAAAAAAAAGATACCATTGCCCCCCAAAATATTTTCAATCCACAATTGAATCTGTAGATGTGAAATCCTAGTATAGTATATGGAGGGTCAACTCCATACTTTTCTTTAATAAAAAGATTATTGGCTGGGGTATTGCCCAATGGTAGAGTTCTTGCCTAGCATGCATGAGGCCCAGGGTTTGATACCCAGTAATAAGGGGTCAGGGAAACCCAACATTTTTATAATGAATGGTGTTGGCAAGGATGGAAAGAAATTGGAAACTGTTATGCATTGCTAGTGGGAATGTAAAATGGTACCACTTCTGTGAGAAAAAAAAAAAAGACTGTTCCTCAAAAAATTAAAAATTAAATTATGATATGATTCAGGAATTCTGCTTAAGGGGATATACCTGAAAGAATTGAAAGCAAAGTCTTACAGTGCAAGTTTTACACCTGTGTGTCATGGTAGCATTATTCACAATCATTAATAGATAGAAGCAACCCAAGTATCCATTGATAGCTGGATAATGTATTAGTGAGTTTTCCCCTTGCTGAGACTACCCAACATCTGCAACTTAAAGGGAGGGGGGTTTATTTTTGACTTTTGGTTTCAGAGGATTCAGTCAATGGTTGACCGGCTCCAGTACAGAAAAAGCACAGCAGAAAGGTGCATTGGAGCAAAGCCACTCATTTCATGGTGACTGGAAACAGAACCAGGGAAGAGTGCCAGAGAGGAAAGGGCTAGGGACATGATATAGACCCCAAGGATACACCTACAGGACCCACTTAGACACAGCCAGAAGTGCATTTTACTGATCTCTTAAGCAGCTCCCAAGCACATCAAATTTGACAGTAACATGTTTAATGGTCACAAATAGCAGAATATTATATATAAATACACACAATAGAATATTATTTTGCTTGAGAAAGGATATTTTGATATATATTACAACATGGATAAACTTTAAGGACATTTTGCTTTTACTCTACTTACATGAGCTACTTAGAGTAATCAAACTGATAGAGACAGAATAATAGTGGACCAATAGACTTAAGAGATGGGGGTTATTGTTTAGTGGACATAGCTTTTCAGTTTTACAAGATGAAAAGAATTATAGGGATGGATGGTACTAATAATCACAGAGCTTTAAAAATGTATTTCATGCCACTGAACTGTACACTCAAAAATGGTTAAGATGCTAAATTTTATGTTATGTGTAAATAAGTTAGCATAATGGCACATGCCCGTAATCCCAGCATTTGGGAGGCTGAGGCTTTAGGGTCACCACAAGTTTAAGCCCAGCCTGGGCTACATAGCAAAAAAAAAGAAAAAGATTATTATAGCCTCCATCTTTTCCTGAAACTGCGCTGTCTTGAATTTCTGATGACCTTTTAGGATTACAGTGAAATTTTCCTAGTACACAAATATATTATTCCTGTAGAAGTAATCAGCGATAGTCTGCTTTTTTTCTTAATGTTTTCATACTTGTACCATGTAACTAGTGCTTCCTGATCAGGCCTTTGTCTTCTACCTAATCTCTCTCAACTGATCTAAAAGTAAACTCCTGCCAGCATTCATTTTTCTCTTCAGTCCAATATAAACTCTGTACTCAGAGTGATGTTATTAAATTTTTTAAAAAATTGATGTTTCTTTTAATGTTGTCAGTGATTTTAGTGCTAAAAGAATAAAATTAAAGGTCTTACATGCTTTGATCTGGATCACAACTTCTCCATCCTCATCTTTATGGTTTTTCATCATTTGAGCCCATTTCTCAATCATGAACATGTTTCTGCTTTGCAAAACTTGTGATTCGTGCCTCCCTAGTTGACTGTCTCTAATCCAAAATGCTCTGAACTCTGAAGTTTCAATCAAAAGTTTCAGATTTCAGAGAACTTTGGACTTTGAATTTTCAGATTAAGGATGCTTAGTTGGTAAAGTTTATGCACATATTTTAAAAAACCCAAATTTAAAACACTTCTGGATCCAGATATTTTAGATAAGGGATATTCAGCCTGTAGTAGCTATGATTATGTTTTTGCGAACAAGTTTTTATATTATTGAATTTGTTACTTTCCCATGAAATTTTAACTAGTCTGATTTTGAAGGGTTTTCTTTTTCCTAATGGCCTCTAAGCAGCAGTTCTTGTCTGCACACATTTTTCATCAGTGAGTTATTTTTTCTAACCGTATATAACCTTCTAAATAAAAATTCCTTCAAAATTTGGAATACCATGCAATCTTCCTGACCCTTCAAGCTAGTGAAATGTTTTTTATACTATTTGTCAAATGTGAGATTGTACTGATTTTCATCAGTACTCCAGGTAGACTAGTGTATTTTTTATTACCATAACAAAATACTGGTGACTGAGTACTTTATAAAGACAAGTTTATTTATCTCTCAGTTTTGGAGACTGCAAGCCCCAAATCAGGTGACCTCATTGGATTGGTGTATGATGAGGGCCCATGGCAACTGGTATCAGAATGGCCAGGAGTATGTGTCACAGTGATTACATGGCAAGACAAGGAGCCACAGAGGGATTCAGAGACAAGGTGTGCACTTCCATAACAACTTGCACTCAAGGGAACTGTGTCTTGGAGACCAAACTTCAGAGAGCAGTGCCTTCATTGACTTAATCACCTTAGTTTCACCTCCCTCCACCACCTCAGTACCACCACCTTGGAGACCACATGTTCAGCATATATATAAAACCCTGGGGGAAAAAAACACATCCAAAAGACTATGGACATTGTATAATATCTGTATAAGAAAAGTACATATTCACATTTCAGAGATATGTGTTGATCTAAGTTATTTATTTTTTCTTTAAATAATTTATATTTAAAAACTTAAACTTCATATATTGTACTATATATTAAGTAAAATGCATTGGGAAAATGAATAGAGTGGTGAAGTGTACGTGGGAAGAGTATGAAGACAAAGGCAGCGCACTCTTGTGGGAGATATTTATCTAGGTTAACAAACACTGAACAAATGCAAAGATTAGCTTTAATACTTATATTTTTATTTGACTCTAAAGATACCTTATCTTTAGAGTAAGAACTTTATATTCATAAGAGTGAACTTTATGTCAGAGATGTAACTTTTAAATTTTAAAAATATTTTTTTATAAGTGCACGTAGCATTTTACCACACCCAGCCCAATTACCCCTCCCTTTCTTAGTTCCTTTTTCTGGTTTGTTTTGTTTTGTTTTTTTGAGACAGGGTCTCACTATGTCCTTGAGACTGACCTGGAACTCACTGTGTAGTCCAGGCTGGTTTCGAACTCACAGTGATCCTCCTGTCTTAGCCTCCCGAGTGCTGGGATTACAGGTGTGTGCCACCACACCCGGCCCTTTTTCTGGTTTGTAATACCTGATACCTCCAACTGTTCAAGGAGGAGAGTTTATTTTGGCTCATGTTTTCAGTCTGTATCCAGCTAACTCCAAGGCTAGAAGGGCTTGGTCAGAGGAACTGCTGAAGTCATGGTGGCCAGGAAGCAGAAAGAAGAGAGTAACCCTTCCAGGTCATACCCTCAGGGACCCACTTCTTTAGACCAGACCGCATCTCCTGACAGCAAAGCAACTATATTGCTCCCTTAATCTAATCACCATCCACAAGCCTCACCTCTTTGCATATGAGGCTTGGGGGGGTATTACAAATCAAAACCATAACATTATCTAATAATAGTAATTATTTTCTTTAAAATACTCTAAAAACCAAATCTTATTGAGGAAGGACAGTGTGAGGTTGTGATATAGACAGCATTTCTAATCTGGAAATTTGAAGTCTGAAATATTCCAAAATCAGAAACTTTCTGAATGTTGCAACATTCAAAATTTCAGGTTTTGGATCATGGTACTGGCAAAAACAACCAGACCTGAAGATCAGTGGAACAGATTAGAAGATACAGGAACAGCCCCTAACACAGTCAGCTGCCTTATCTTTGACAAAGGGGGTAAACATGTTCACTGGAAGAAAGCCTCTTTAATAAATGGTGCTGGCAAAACTGGCTTACTACTTGTGGAAGACTAAAAGTAGAGCCATGTCTCTCACCATGCACTAAACTAAAATCAAAATGGATTAAAGATCTAGGTAGTAAAACATAATAGAAACACATAATCTATTAGAGCAGAGTATATGTAGAATGCTAAAAGACATAGGTAGGCAAAAGCTTCATAAAACCCAGACCACATGGGAAATACTACAAAGAATCAAGAATTGAGATTTTTATCTTATTGAAAAGCTTTTGAAAAAAAAAAGAAAGAAAAAAAAATATCAGCTGGGCTGGGGATTTAGCTCAGCGGTTCGGTGGCCCGCCTCGCAAGGGCAAGGACCTGAGTTCGATCCCCGGTACCACACACACAAAAAAAGCTTTTGCTGGGCCAGAGCTTTAGTAGTGGTTCTACTGCCTGCCTTGCAAAGGGCAAGGGCCGGAGTTTGATTGCCGGTACCAAAACAAAACAAAAGACAAAAAGCTTTTGCCTACCAAAAGAAATCACAAACAGAGTGAAAAGACAAGCCACAGGTTGGGGAAAGAACATAAGCCAGTGGTTCCTCAGACAAAGGACTGATGTGTAGAACATAAAACTTTGAAAAAATTCAGACTCCCCCCAATTTAAAGACCCAATCCAAAAATGGACATCTGAAACAAATACATATTTTCTCAGATGAACTAAATGGCAAATAAATACATGAAAAAATGTTCAGTATCACTGGTCATTTGAGAGATGCAAATTAAAACAAGCTGAGATTCCATCTCACTCCAAAAAGAATGGCTATTATCAAGAAATCAATGGAGATTTGATCAATGGAGACTCTGTTGATGGAAATGTAGACTGGTACAACTTCTGTGGAAGTCAGTGTGGAGATTCCTCAAAAAACTAAGATTAGAGGTCCCATTTGACCCAGCTATTCTCATGAGTATCTTCCTAAAAAAATTAAAAGCATCCTACCACAGCAGTATATACACACCCATGTTTATAGCAGCACGGTTTGTAATTGCTAAATCTTAGAAACAAATCAACCAATGACTGGATGAAGAGATTTTTTTTACACAGTGGAGTACTATTCAGCCATAAAGAAGGGTGAACTTGAGATATTTCTAAGTAATTGGATACATCTTGAGAACATACTCTTAAATTGAACACACTTGTAAATATCACATTCTTTGATGTGAGAAACTGAAAGTGTAAATAAAGACCAAAATATATTGTAAAATAGGAAAAAACTGTTCAAAATTATACCAAGTGTGAGATATTTTTTAATAAATGTTTTATGCAGAAAAGCTATAGTACTATTAGGAAATGAGATTAATAAATGAAAATATATTCTTTTAAGATCATGCTACACAGTGTGTTTACCATTTTCTCTATGAAATTTTTTCATAGAACTATTTTTACATTTTCTTCATTAGTAATCTTCTTATATTACATTAAAATAAAAAAGAAATGCTCAGCACCTAAATTTATGTGAATATTCCAAAATCTGAAGAGCTGCAAAATCTAAAATACGTCTGGTCCAAAGTGTTTCAGATGAAAATACTCAAGCTGTGCAAGCATCAAAGACAAGTTTAAGAAAATTACAGTAGTAGTACCATAAGAAACACGACTGTTCGGAGAGGCATAATTTACATGCAAAAAAAATCCAATTTAATGGCCTGAAATATGTGATTAATATAACCAGAAAGAATTTGGCATTTGAAAGTCTCCAAAGTCATAGTAGTAATTTTAACTCTTTAAATCTAAGGCTTTTTCTTTCTGATCTTCCTTAACCATCCTGTGTCTTTCCATTTAAGTCAGTATGATATGTCCTCCTGATTGTTGTTTTTCTTTATATTATGTTTCAATTTGTTTTGTTCTGTATTTCTTAATCGCTAGCTTTCTGATGGGGGCATACTATTTGAAACAAGTAATAGAGTCATTTGTGACAACCTTACAATGTGAATCTGTCTGGATATTTAATATATAACTTTCTGAAGGACTTAACAAATGAATTGTATTCTAGGCGTGTCACGAGGTCCCAGCCCTGTCAGCCTTGGAAATCAGGACACCTTACCTGTGGCGATTGCCCTTACAGAATCTGTTAATGCCTACTTTAAAGGAGCAGATCCCAGCAAGTTAGTTTTTTAAATGTACATGTGTAATGAATGTGTGCTATGGGGAGGGAGGACTTGGTGGTAAATTTTAAGTTATATTTTAATATAACTTAAGTTTATTGTAGACCTGCTTTTTGCTTTCTTAGTCTTTTAAGGATGGTCTTTCAGATTAAAAAATCACTATAATCAGCACTAAATGATAGCTTTTTCCCCCAGTGTATTTACACTGTTGCCCAGGCTGATTGACCATTATGACACATTTGGTTTTGTATCTTTGGTGAAATTGTGGCATTCCTTAGAAAATAATGTGTGACTGTTGCAGAGGTAGTTTCATCTCTTGCTTTTAAGAAAATCAGTTTGGGGCCAGGGATTTAGCTTAGTGTTTCCACTGCCTGCCTTGCAAGTGCAAGGACCCGACTGGATCCCCAGTACCAAAAAAAAAAAAAAAAAAAAAAAAACAAAAAAAAAAAAAAA